ATGTTACAAATATGAATAATTCAAAATGAAGAAGATAATTGTCCTATATAGTCACCGATAACCACGATGGTTATATAAAGATCGAAACAACTTTGTGACGCAACCGTAGGTGGTTTTGTTGACACGAGCAATCACGCGTGTTGCCACCTGCATTGGTGTTGGGTTGCAAAATGCGCGCATTTTCACGGAGTATTTCGTTCTCAATAACGTTATATAAAATATAAATGAGTGTCGAAATAGAAGGGACTCCGTCCTTCGAGGTAACAATACGATGTCACATTTATTTGTAATCTTATCGCGAAAGATAAATTTATACGATACGTAAGTGTCGCCTTCAAATTTTATATAAAGTATAAATAAAAATTGATTTTTCCAAATTTTCAATTTATAAAACTATAGATATATAACAAAAAATTTACAAATAATATTATACTCATAAATATATTATATTACGATTTTTACGAGACATTATGCAAAATTATATATTGACATTTGTCAATTAATCGTAATATTAAATGATTCAATGAATTTACGTAAATATATCTACGATTAAAAAAATAATCTTTCCCTTTAATAATCATAGAAATTATAACAATATTATTAATTCTTCTTTTGTAGTGATTTCGAAAAGAAAAAAAAAAAAAGAAAAAAAAAAAAAGAAAGATATAAGAAGAATATAACATAGACAAATTGCAATGAAAGAAAATTTATTGGACTTTAAATTAGAGATTTTCAAGAATCGTTTTGAACTTTTGCATAAAATATATTCGCATAAAATATATTTTTAAAGGGATGAAATATATGTACATGCATATAAATATATTAAAAAAAAAACAACATACACATGCACACACACACACACACACACATATATATATATATATATATATATATATATATATATATAAAATCTAAACATTTGTTGATAGCTTCCGAATAGAAATATAGCGGGAGTATCGAGAGTGTGCATCGAGTCTATCGAGAGAGGTGCTGTTGCTTTCTCGAAGAGAGTCACGAAATGGGGGGGAAAGAGGGGGTTGGGTCGAGGGGGCAGGGGCAGAAGCAGGGGCCTGAGCAGAGGGGGGTGAGGGGGAACAGCGAGGGGCACACCTGAATCATCCGTGGAATGTAACGCTCCGGCCATTTGGATTTTACCGTACCTTCTCGTTCCGTAGCCATCGTCTCCGTAGCTCTCTCTCTCTCTCTCTCTCTCTCTCTCTCTCTCTCTCTCTCTCTCTGTCTCTCTTTCTCTTTCTTTCTCTCTGAGAACTTTGCCAGAGAGAAGGAAGAGAAACCAGAGAGGAAAAAGGAGAGGAACGTGAAAGAGAGAGAGAGAGAGAGAGAGAGAGAGAGAGAGAAGATAGACTGGATGGTGTTGTTTAACAGTAGCAACCCTGGCCGTCGAATAACGAGCCACGCGAACGAATCAATTAACGAACGGCAAACTTTCTTCAGGTAAACCTCGACACGGGTCACCGTCTTCATCGATCTTGAATTTTTATTACAGTATCAGTATCAGTATATATCAATTATAATTAATTGTTCGAGCGAATTTCTTCGAACCAACGATGAAAATTCTATACCCATGTGATCGTTCTTAATATCTATTCGATATTCTTTTTTAATGTTTAATATGAATTCATGAAAATTAAATGAAACAATAGATTTCGTTGAGTTAAATGTCATTATTGAAAATTATATAGATCGAAATTGTAAAGAAAATTATTAAACGATCTCAATACAATTCTATCAACTGTTTACTAATTAGATTAGATCAAACTCGATTGTTCTGATAGTGTTTCTAAACGTTTCTATTTTTTTTTTTTCTTTTTTTTTCTTTTTTTTTTTTTTTTTCACGAAGGATCCTCTTTTTTTTTCCTCTTGCGATTATAATCATAGAAAAAAATAGTTCCGTCTGAAGCTTCGAACGATTTAGATTTTACGAGATATCGTTAAAGTCCTTATTGAGAAGTATCCTTGCGATGGCAGCGAGAAGAAATAAATGAAAAATAAAATCAAACGAGAATTGAATCGACTAAAATCAAAAAGGGTTGAAATCCTTCCTTGGAATGTTCCGTTTTAACGAGCCCGCATCGGCAAGGATCGCTTTTATTGCTTGTTGCAAATCCGTTTCGTTCGTATTGCTATTTCTTCTCGTGTAAATTGAAACGTAACGAAGCAGCAAGTAGAAACAACGTCGACAGGTCATCGACGTTCTCTTCGGAGGATCAGCTGGCCGTAGATCCTCATTTTAGTAATAAATACTTATGTATATATATACATATATACATATATACATATATATATATATATATATATATATATATATAGTTTGTGTGTGTGTGTAGATGTATGTCTATATGTCGGGACGAATTGAAGTGGAATCATCTGTGGTAATACTGGGTGTTCACATAATTAAAAAAAACATCACAACTTCTTTCATTAATTATGAATAATAAGATGAATAACATTATTACGCATTTTTCCCATGATTTCGCTTTTACGCGAACGATTACTGAACGAAAGAAATATGTGCCTGAATTATGAAAACGTAAGATATTTTTCTTAATAATTATTATTAATTAAATCACGTCTCTTTTTATTCTTTTCATTTTTTCCCTCGAAATACGATGAAACATCATTTCGATAAAAATAAATTCAATTCACTGGCAAAAGATTAAAAAAAAATTATCTGATACAGAATGATAATAATCGATAGGATGATTGATTCCAATAACCATTGACACCATTTTTATACATTAAGAGATAAAACGTTAATGAAAAGTAAATGATCACTATGTGTATATTTATATTTATACAAATTTTTCCTAAAGTTTATTCATTATTATATTATAACAATAAATGTACTTTTATCGTTCTATCGAATGAAGTTTTTCTTTATGTCAAATAAGAAACGTCATGGAATTTTGCAAATGATTTCATATTTACAAATGTCACGCTCTAAATGTCTCCTTGAAAATCATTCACGTTTATGATATTAAAATATCATGATATTAAAACATTATGATATTTTAATATCATAAACGTGAGAAAATTTGATATTATATAAGTATTATATTTCGTCGATATATTAATATGACGTAGATACACAAAACACACGTGACACATATTTACACATACGTATTATCATCGGTGATCGTGATAACGAATGTTAAATAACGCTTTTGATGAAGTACTTTCGATCTTGCTCACCTGACACCCGTATTGACGAAGAACCGATCTGCTCAGTGGTGGTCCAAACGCAGCATCTTCCTTGATCCTTCGATCTCTCTTCTGGTTTTTTTTGTTTCTTATTTTTTTTTCTTTTTCTAAAATCCCTTTCTCTCTCTCTCTCTCTCTCTCTCTCTCTCTTTCTTTTTTTTCTTCTTAGTGCACAAGTACGTAAATAATTATAAAAAGAAACTAGAAAATATCTTTTTCGAGCTTAACTCTTCAATCACACAACCAACGCGATGATCGAAAAATATATATATATATAAATATATGTGTATATATATATATATATATATATATAAATATATATGTATATATATATAAATAAATAAATATATATATATATATATATATATATGTGATCGAGAAATGCCTTGGACACTTCCACCGAGCGAGCGGGTCCGAACGACTGAAAGTGCCTCTCGGTACGTTCGCGCGCCTTCCTCGAAGGAATCATTCGCTCTATCCCTACTCTCTCTCTCATGGATTCTCTGACTACCGTGCTGAACCAGGTTAACACGAGAACGAAGCGATGTCGAATGGATCGGGACGATCTATTGAAAGAAATCGTTTTCCTTTTTCAACTTTCGAAATGTTATCTTCAAATCGGACGAAATAATTCTTTTTTCTTTTTTTTTTTTTTTTTTTTTTTTTCTTTTTCTTTTTTTGTGAATCCGTTATTCGCTTTATCTTTTTTTCTTTTTGCGGAGGAATAAATAATTTTTCTATATATATGTATAATATATATATATATATAGTTTTTTTACAAGCGTAATCAATTTTTTTGTACGTAGAATTATAAACTTTACAAATTGGATTAGAGATTGTAATTTTACTGTTCTTTTTTCTGTTTTTTTTTTCTGTTTTTTTTTCTGTCTTTTTTCTGTTTTTTTTCTGTTTTTTTTTTTTTTTTTTTTTTTTTTTTTTTTTTCTTTAAAATCAGTAAAATTTCCAAAGAACAAAGTCAAAAATTTTTGATTACAATATTTTTCGTATCTTTTTCTTGGCCTTTGGTCGCAAGGATCATATCTTTTTTCTTAGTCAGTTCAAAGGTATACCGCATTGCGGACTCTTACGATTCTCAGGAATGCCGATAAACGGCGATAATTGGCGCAGGACAAATCGCAAATCGATGCACGACCGTTGCGTTGGATACCACGAAGCGATATCGATCGTGTGTCAAACCTTTCGCTTATCCAGAATCGGCGGTAAGAATAAAGCTCGACTAAAAATAAAGTGATGAGACGTTTAGAATGTCACGCACGAAAGATTTGAAGAAAAGATTGTTAAAAGATTTGTAGAAGAGACACGTATGTATGTATTATATACGTGCGCGCATATCCGGAGACGTAGTATAGCATTTATAAATTAATCGTAAATTTAATAATCGTATTATTTAAAAAAAAAAAAAAAAAAAAAAAAAAGAAAAACAAGAAAAAAGATCGAATTACAATCGAGATAATAATGAGAAAAAGTGCGAATATTAAATTTAAAACGATTATTTTATACAAATAAAAAGGGAAAATTTTCATTCGATACGATAAATAAATATTGTTACTTAGTAATCATTGATTTTCGATAGAATCCATAATTTCAATCGAAATTACAAATTTATATATTTGCGAAAATTCAAAATGCCCGCTTATTAAGACGCGTCGATAAGAGAGAGGAAGCTCATTTGTCATAGGTGATTGGAGAGACACGTGACCAATGACGACAGCGACACTGGCGACACTTACGTTAGTCTTCCAAATAGACACGTTTCCGTTCTAAACAATTACGGTCACGGGGTGCATCGTTCGCGGTCGGTTACGAGGTGATTTTGATTTAAGGAGTAGAGAAATCGTTGCGAATATTTTCTATAGATTTAATAAAAATAAAAAAAAGATTACTTCTATAATTTCGTCGTTGATAACGATAAGAGAGAAAAAGGAAAAAAAAGGGGAAAAAAAAAGAAGAAAAAGAAAAATAAGAAACGTAGAAGGAGAAGTTTTATCGTATTACGTTATCGGAGTTAAAACTACGTTTTCTTTTCACGTAAGCTGATGTCTTTCGTCAGCTCGTATGATAGCATCCTAGTGGCGAAATAAAAAAGCAACGACCGTACGGGAGGTAGCTGGCCATCTTGGAAAACAGATATGGTTGTATCGAGAGAAACGTCAACAGAATTGTGTTTACTTCGTACGATACATGCCGCGAGAGGTGTCTTAGTTTAATTACATTTATAATAGACTTAGCTTAATCGCACGGAAGTGAGACCGACACGGTGGCGTATCTGACACGCGGACGTTATCGCAAAAGGTGCGTAACTTTGCTTCCGAAGGATGAATCGAGGTGACGGATTGGTGCAGAGAAGACGAGTGGTTAACAGTAGCAGCAGCAGCAGTGGATTCGGCCAGGATGGTTCCAATGAACTTGGTCATAATGACAAGTTGTCTGGTAACAGTATGGACACCGACTGTTCATCTCAAAAAGATTTAAATTCTAATCCTACGATAGACGATGATTCTGATAAAGAAACCAGATTGACTCTTATGGAAGAGGTTTTACTCCTTGGTCTTAAGGACAAGGAGGTAAGGACATAGAAACTCTTCTTTTTTTTTTCTTTTTTTTTTTTTTCTCTTTTCTTTTTTTTTTTTTCAATCCTTCGCTTATGTCTCTCTTCCTCGATATCTCTCTTCTTACTCCTTAGGGATTTGTTTTTATTAATTCTTAGGGTTATACTTCGTTTTGGAACGATTGCATAAGCTCAGGCCTACGTGGATGTATCTTGGCCGAACTTGGATTTCGTGGTCGTGTAGAATTAGAAAAAGCTGGAATGCGTAAGAAAGGATTGTTATCAAGGAAATTACTCTTAAAGAATGACGCACCTACTGGAGACGTCTTACTGGATGAAGCGTTGAAACATTTAAAAGATACAGATCCTCCAGAGACAGTTCCAAGTTGGATAGAATATTTAAGTGGTTTGTAATTAATTGATGATTTTTCTTTTTACTTTTTTTTTCTTTTTTTTTTTTTTTCTTTTTTTCTTTTTTTAACCTCCACGATAGTAATTCAATTTTTATTTTGGATCTCGTTATATGTATTGTTACAGGTGAAACGTGGAATCCTTTGAAGCTACGTTATCAGTTAAAAAATGTTAGAGAGAGATTAGCCAAAAATCTTGTAGAAAAGGGTGTGTTAACTACAGAAAAACAAAACTTCTTACTCTTTGATATGACAACTCATCCTCTTACTGATAACCTTGCCAAAAGTCGTCTTGTTAAAAAGGTAATTAGATTTTTGTTATATACTTATATATTATTTATTTATACTTATCTGTTTATGCTTTCTCTCTCTCTCTCTCTCTCTCTCTCTCTCTCTCTCTCTCTCTCTCTCTCTCTCTCTCTCTCTATGATATATATTTTGTTATGCGCGCGCAGACATATTCTGTTTTGTTTTAATACTTCAGAAATAATGGTAATATCTTATCTCTTTGTTTGTATTCTCTCATCTTCTAAATTGGGTATACATATTAATCACTAAAAATGATAAGAGGAATTATCATTTGTAACATTTTGCTTGTATTTACTATAAAAGTATATTTGTATCTCCTATTCATACATATGTTTGGAGAATATCTGTATCTTTTTTATTATTCTTTTTTTTTTCTTCTTTCTTTCTTTTTTTTTTTCTTTTTTTTTTAATTATTTCCAGGATGCAATTTAACATGCGTATCCGTTTAGTTGGTTTTTCTATTCATTGAAAATATTCATAGTGGAAAAATTATATAATTATTAATTCATTAGTTTTGAAACATTAGCATCATTTAGAATATAAGATTGTTATATTTATAGAGCAGTCATATTTTATTTACAGATTCAGGAGGCTGTGTTAGGTCGTTGGGTAAATGATGCAGGTCGTATGGATAGGCGGACGTTAGCATTAGTGATCCTAGCCCATGCGGCTGATGTATTAGAGAATGCATTTGCACCTCTTTGCGATGACGATTACGAAGTAGCAATGCGCCGAGTTCGAACTTTATTGGATCTAGATTTTGAAGCTGAAGCTGCTAAACCTAATGCCAATCCCGTATTATGGGCTGTATTTGCCGCATTCACTAAGTAACACAGTTTTCATAAATTAAAAGTGTAACTTATGAACGTTGGATAATAGTGTGAACAGTGGGATTACCAATTTTGCATGTATTTCAGTTGTATACTTAAAAGAAATAGTTACAAGATCATTGTTACGATCATATGATTCAGACCAAATAACATATAGTTGACTGCATGAAAAGCAGCGTTAGGATATATTAGTCATTTTCATTATTATTTAATATCTTTGATAACTGAACTGTATATAAGTTCAGATTGGTGACATCGTAAAGTAACGAAATTCCGTGTGTGAATGTGCACTTCGAGTGTGATTTAGTGCCATGTAGGGTTTGATAAAAAAAAAAATTCTCATCGTACAGAATTTTATGAAATATTTATTATCTGCATCTGTATAGAATCCTTCACGTATAATATTTGTAGATACAGCCTTATACGGCAAACTGTATCTCTCATGTTATTTGCTACATCATTGATGACTGTTGCTTAAAAATAAAAGACAATATAAGAGGCAGTATAGCAAATTGGAAATATTATAACATTATGTTCTAATCGCTAGTGCCCCTCCCTACGGGCGTCTATATTGCATTTGGATATATCTTATAATGACATTCTTTTCAAATTGAAGCACAGATTGATAAGATTCACTGGGTGGCAGTAAAGTAATTAATTTTTGACGTCTATGACCTGCATTATAGAATTTTATAAAAAATATTCCTTTCGATGCTTTAAATATTTTATATATTTCGCATTAATCAATAATTTTTTTCTAGTATATTTAATGGAATACTTCCTTTATATTTGAATTTTATAGAGAAAGCACAAATATATAAAACATTGATCTATTTACTTTCATGAAAAATATAAATGCTAATAATTGCAATATTAATATTATCATTCTTAGAGATAATAATTATTAACAAATATTGACATATATATTGCTCCTTTTAGCTGTAGAAAAAAATTTCATTATGATGCTTATATATATATATAAAAAAATAACATTACATAAAATTATTAAACATAGGCTTTATTGGTTAAACTAATAATTTCAAAATAAGACATGATTTAGTTACCTATATATCTATCAAGAATATACAATGCATTCAATTTATACGTTTCGTACATTTTAAATTATTATTAAGTTAATTGTTGCTATTTGAGTATTAATTTTAATAAGTATTTAGTAAAACTGTAATATTATTGTCATATAGTTTTCTTTTCTTTTTTTTTTTTTTTTTTTTCTTTTTTTTTTTTTTTTAATGCAGGTTGAAAAAAATTACACAAGTATTTTAGTAATCATACTTATTTTTATGTATTTTTAAATGTAGTTAAGTCTTTTTTCTCTTCATTAGATTATAATATTTTATTACATAGCTGTCCATTTGACAGAATGCAGATATCTATTATAATTTAATGTAATATAATATTCTGCCTATATGTATTTTAAATGGTAGTAGCTTGCTGGTCAAGCAGATGTAACAGGTATTAGCTGGACAAGGCGTTTATTTTTGTTACATTGTTACTAGTGGATTTCTTTGCTTTTGACACTTCTATAAATTATAGGTAGTTCTTTTTTCTTTTGAAATAACGTTCTTTTCAATATCAATGCTAAAGTAAAATGATTTAGATTAATATAATCAATTTGTTATATATTTATATATTTATATATATATATTTATATATATATATAATATATAATATATATTTTGTACATACACACACACATATATATATATATATGTATATGTATGTATGTGTGTACGGAAGCTCTACTGCCACTTGGTTGAAAAATTTGAATATTATATTCTCCAATGAAAAAGAAAATACACATCACAATACGTGCTCTATTATAATAATATTTTAAATAGTGACATACATGTATTTGCAATTGAGTATATTTGGAATAATTTTTAGATGAGACCATACATAGAAAACTTGTAATTAAAAATGAGATTATGAAAAGAACTTTTTTGTCTATTTATATATTTTGTAATACTACATGATAAAATTCCTTATATAATTGCTGATTATTAATAATGTTCATATATTTATAAAAATCATTGTACTTTTACTATCAAGAAGTAATATGTCAGGTATTTGTAATAATGATAAAATATCGTAAATTTGTTCAGTGAAATTATTTATATTTGATGCCTGATAATAATTTTTATTTCAAATGTACGAGCTTTTTTAAGTTTATCAAGTTTATTAGAAAAGTTCATCATAAATAATTTTCTATGAATTGCCACTTTGGATAATAGTCTGAATATATGAAAGTATAATTATCACAGAAAAAATATGCAATGATTTATTTTAAGAGCTTGTAGTATAATATTTTGTTCCTTTAAAAAGCAGGGGTAATTTCGTTACAAATATAAAATATATAAAAACAATAGTATATTAACAGGAATATGATCAAAATAACTTGAATAAAATCAAATATATTTTCTGAAATTCTATCCCATTTGTTTGATCACTGTAAATCACTTGTAAATACTGCATTATAAATTACTGTTAATCGAGATTTATAATTTCAGTTGCACTTCTATATGTAATATATCCTTATTATAGAAGTAAATGTAAAATACACATATTAAGAAATAAAACAATTTTTTTTTTTTGTGTATAATAAGTGTATTACTGTAAATGAGAATTCTAAAGAAATCTTTGTAGAATAGTATATACCATAGAAACATATGCTGATAAAAATTTTTTTAGATATCAGAAAAAAAGAAAAAAACATATATATATATATACACACAACACTTAAGTTTTACAAAATATTATATTTTTTTCTTTGCATTTATGAGATTAGCTACTAATACTGTGGTTATTACAAAAGAAATTTGTGTATATTTAAACACGTGTCTCTCAACACATTGGTTATAAGATAATATTGTATGCTTGGAATAAGTGCAAATAATTAAACATATTGTATAAAGGCATGTGAATAAAGAAGTATGATTAAGGCGGAGAGAACGAAATGTAAGTATTAGGGATACATGCATACACATACATACATACAATATATAAATATATATATATATATGAAGACATAATCGCATTGGAAGATCGCGGCCATTTGTACTTAAAAACCAAATTATACGACTAATATTTTGATGAATTATTAATTCGAATTACAATTGATAGAATTTATAAGTGTGTTTATATATATTTGAATTAAAAGTATACGTGGTTGCGATCGATTCTGCGTGTTTTCGAGGACCTATTAAATAAAAATATAATATACAAATATAATAAAAATATGATAACATCCTTAAAAAAATTATTTTATTTTTTATTACTTGATATGCATTACTATACATCACTGTGTACAAACATTTATAGAACAGAAGGATATTATCTATTTAAAAGAAATAGATACTTATTCTTCTTATTATTATTATTATTACTATTATTATTATTATTATTATTATTATTATCATCATTATTACCATTATAAACATGTATTGAATGTAATAAATTAAATATTGCTGATAATACATATACATCTAAAAATTATTTGGTTTTTGGAATATTATAGTTTAAAAAGACAAAATTTTTTTTTAATCCAAAAATGATCTATATATTCTCACTATCATTTCTATTATGATATATAACAAATTGAAATATTCCTTTTTCATAAGACTGATTCACATAGTATGAAAATGTAATTGTAGAAACTACTAATTCTTTCTTATGTATATACATGATATATATATATATTATATACGTAGAAAATTTATACAATCTATAGTATAAATGGGGTGATATTATTACAATAATATAATTCTCATTGCATCAGTCTATGCATTATTTCTTTCATTTCGATTTGTATTATATTTAAAATGGAAATTTATATAATAATATTTCTCCATTATAGTTATAAATAAAATAGAGTAAGAAATGAAAAAAGAAAAATATTTAATAGATTTAACAAATGGTACATGTACATTGACATTAATATTTTACTCGAAAACATTTACATATATCAATCTGTAGATTTAAATGCAACTAGACGAATTAGGAGTTGTTGCATTTATGTGACTTAATAAATTTATATAAAATTCTCTCTCTTTATAGATATAACAATAATATTATCTTTAATTTAATTTCGCTTATTAACATATAGTGGAACAGTTACAAACGTTTTCAACTGTTGCTTGAATAAGACCATATTTACCAGTAATCATCCAATTTTCATCTTTTTCGTATAACATTTCACCTTTTCCAAGTGGTAATCCAACACAAACATCAGACTTTATTGTTCTCAAACTCAAAATATTTGTTGGTCTAAAACCTCTCAATGCTTCCATAAATGAAGTAGTGTATTCCCAATTTATATCACCCAATAATTTTCTATAATTTAAATCACCTTTAAATATTACTAATTTTGCATCTGATAATTTCGCATATAGTACTTTATCCTTTTCTTTCATTTCTGCAAAATCGTAAGGACTTGTCCAATAAGATTCTTCCTGTATAAATATACAATATGTATTATAGTTGGTAATACGCATAAGAAATATAAAATAATATAACTATATATACATATATATATATATATATATATATATATATATATATATATATATATAGTTATATTATTATAATATAACTATAATATAAAAATTATAATATAACTATATATATATATATGTTATTACCTCAATGGTCCAAATATTGTTTTTTAAGTAATCATAAGATAACTGTGCTGTTCTTTCTAATTCTGGATTTGAGGATTTTTTCATATAATCCAATACCCAATGAAAATCATGAGTGTTAGTATCACTGACATACCATGGATACCGTTTTACATAAAATCTAACTTTTCCGGCTAAGCCAAAATTAACTAGGAAAATTGCTAAACATATATCAGTGAAAAGTTCATATCCTGCATTATCTAATACCATGTCTATAATATTAGAATCATTTAGTTTTTGTTTACTAAGAAGTTGCCAAGCAAAATCAGTGGCATTATCAAGTATATAATTGTGAAGAGTTTCTAATTGTTCTATAGGATTACTAATTTGACTACTATCGGATCCTGCACTTAGAGATAAATCACATCTGAAAAGATAATAACAGAATAAACATATATAATCTTTTATATATATATATATATAAATTTTTAGGAATATTGATATTACCTGTTTCCCCACAGATTCAATTGGATTAATTTAAAGAATTTTTGTTTCTTTTCAACTTCCTCCATTAATTTTACTCTGTCAATTATATCTAACAAATACTTATTGAGAATTTTTATGGTATTTAGGGAATTAATAAAAGTATCTCTTTTCTGCTGTTGAAATGGATCATACGTACGTAAAGCATTCCTATAAAATCATAGGATTATACAGTGTGTATTGTTAATGAAATATAGTAATGAAATATAGCATTTTTCTTTTTTTTTTTTTTTTCTTCTATACAAACTTACATAAGAAGAAATTTTTGTACCAAACTACGATACATGTAGCATTCGCAGTACAACCATTCTGTATTAAACCAGGTTGGTACGGTACCTTCTTTCTCAGTTTTATCTTCCAAATACTTGTTCCAAACAGATGCATCATTATCATCGTCATTTTCTATCGTTGGTAATATTTTCAATGCCTTATTAGTAACAATTTCATTCTTCAATTGACTTATAAATCCAACCATTTGTTTTATTTCTTCCGTAGCATTCTGCAGGATATAAATATTGTATTAATAAATAATAATATCAATAATATATTATATATAGATCACAATAAAGTACATTCACCTGTCCAAATTTTTCTGCGATTTGTTCTTTATTACGACTAAAGTTGTCTATAATTTTTGTTAATATTATGGGTAATCTATCCTTAAGTGTAACATAAGCAAAACTCCTGCAACACATGTCTTTTTATACTATCGTAGGAGGAAAAAAAAAGGAAAAAAAAAAAGAACAATCAAAACTCTCATTGAATTCTTCTGAAATTATTATAATTGTTCTCAAGGATTAAATTAAAATCATTATGTTGTATTTACCGCATATAAATTCCAGAAAGACGTACACCAAAGGGTGTCAAAGTATCCTGAAGATTTGCAATCTCCACCGAATTAGATTTAATTGTTGGCATGGTTTGTTTCGTGTTTATAGCCATTGATATTAACAAGAGGCATAAAATGAATGATAATTGTTTGAACCTGCAATGCATAAAGAAAAATTCTCTTTCTTATCTACAATCAGATCAAATTAAAATTACATAACCCATAAAGTTGATTTGTTTATCATATACTTACTTTTTCTCGAAGTCATTCACGTTTATTTATAGGTTATAAGAATCGTCTGCTTCGCGCATGCGCAGTATTAAACTCCGTGACAATATGAAATTTTGGCGGGTTAATTCTTTGATCGATTGATTTTATAAAAAAATATAAACTTTATTGACGTTTATAAAAATTTCGATCAATGATTTTTAATGTATATTATAATTATTATCGTATGTTTACTTTAAAGACGTTTGTACGAATTATATTAAAAACTATGTTAAAATAGTTAATTACTTTGTAAGATAGTTTGAACGCGTTGAAAAACAGAAAAAAAAAGAAAAAAGAGAGAGAGAGAGAGGGAGGGAGAGAGAGAGAGAGAGAGAAGAACGATCTTATTTCGTTGCAATATCTCTCATTTGTTTTTTGTCAGTATCTAAAACTACAAACTAGAACGATAATTCAGTTACAGATAACCTTAGGGGTTGATAAACTTTAGTCGGAAGATTGCAACCGGCAAAACCACTCTACCACTCGGCTCGTTGCTTCTCTTGAACTTTTCGTTCGTTTGTTAGCTCGTTCTTTGGCTTTAGGAATGCAAATTATTAAATGACTTCTGTCGCTATTGCTCTATTTGTTCCTTCACGTGTTACTTCGCGACAAAAAAAAAAAAAGAAGAAAAGAAAGAAAAGAGAAAAAAGAAAAAAAAGAAGGAAAAAACATACGAGGATAAAAAAAGGAAAAAAAGAGTCTCGATAAAGATTTGATGATGGATCACGTTGTTTTTCTTTTTTTCTTTTTTCCTTTCTTTCTATCTTCCTTCCTTCCTTCCTTTTTCTAGAAATCAATTAAAAAAGATTATCTATCATTAAAATTATTTTTCCTTCTCATATAATAATTCAAAAAATAATCCAAACAATCGCGGACGAAGATTGCGTCGTATTCTTCGTTGAATGAAATCTATGGAACAGGCAATGTTCGAACCTTCCCAACCTCTGGAGCTCTCCCACCTTTGGGATATCTCGGAGCAATGTTGCTAATTACTACATACCACCGAATGCGGCATAACCCGCGACCCATGAATTCCAACAGTATGGCCGAGCGTGTGCAGGCTCGAAACTGGATTTGTCTTCCATCTCTCTCTCTCGCTCTCCCCTATTTCTATCTTTCTCTTTCTCTCTCTATCTCTATCTCTATCTCTATCTCTATCTCTATCTCTATCTCTATCTCTATCTCTATCTCTATCTTTATCTATTTCTCTTTCACAAGCATCCCCATCAAAATCTACCTTCTTCTCTTCGTTCGAAGAGACTTCCCTCGAAAACAACGGACCTATTACAGTCTGCACTTTCGTCAAGTATCAGTTACGTTCGCAATTTTGTCGAATTTTAACAAAATCATTCCCTCTATCTTTTTCGTTCAACGTTGATAGTAAAAAAAAAAAAAAAAGAAAAAAGAGATTTTCCTAATCTCTTTCTTTTTTCTTTTTTCGTTCATTCTTTTTTTCTTTTTTTCATTAATTACTCCGTTTTAATATACACACTGTACATTTCAAATCATCCTTAAAATATATAAACAATAATGATTAATTAGCGTTGATATCGCTTAATGAAAGATCTTAATAGGGATATTAAAAGAAAAATTCATTAAATACCATTAAGTCGCATGGATATACTTTTTTATTTTATTTTATTTCTTTTCTTCTTTTTTTGTTTTTCTTTTTCTTTTTTCTTTTTCTTTTTCGTTGAAATCAAGAAGGGATTTCCACTAATTTTCTTTTTTGTCTTCTTTTTTTTTTATTTTTTTTTTTTTTTTTGTTAATGTAAATTGTAACCTCACGTAAGAAATTTTGAAAAGGGACAAAACAATAACACGTGATCAGTTCACGTTAAAATCGATTAACGACAGTGAGATAGGGAGAGATAGAGAGAGAGATAGAGAGAGAGAGAGCTTATGACAAATTTTCAAAGGATAATCATTAAATAAGTTGACCACATGGCTAACTGCAATTTTCGAAATGAAGAGGAACGAGAATAAGTCGCGAAATATCAAAACCATACCACCATTTTAGCAACGTCTGTGATATCGCATTGCTGTAATTATAGTTGGCAAGAAACTTGACGTTGAATCTTTCTTATCATTAACTTGATTTTATTTCTAATCATTCGAGATATAGTCGAGGATATATTAGAAGTTCCTTATCTATATTTAAGTTTTAGTTTGATAGAATATCTTGTGATATTCAACGTGTAGTTTCGAACGATTGAAATTATTAAAAAAAAAAAAAAAAAAAAAAAAAGAAAAAGAAAAAAAGAAAACGAAAAGAGAAAAGAGAAAAGAGAAAAAGAAAGATCGCGTAAGTCGGATAAAAGTATTAAAATATTTCTAAAAGGATCGAGATAAACAAATTAATAAATAATATCAACGAGCAGAATGAATCCTTTGAAAATTGTTCGTACCTTTAATAAATTCAAGTAAAAAAACGTTTCCATTCGTGTTGTTGTCATTTAAAGGATTGAAGGAAATTGAGCGTGTTTAAATTGAAATAAGAACGAAAGAAAAGAAAAAAAGGAATGAGAGAGACAGAGAGAAAGAAAAAAAACAGAAAATGATGTAATTAAAATGTATCTATGTGAATGTATATCATGAAAATATAATAGGGATGGTCTCTCTCTCTCTCTCTCTCTCTCTTTCTTTCTTTCTTTCCTTATAGAAATCTTCGAGCAATAAGATTTGCACGCTCTGAAGGACGTTGGATAGTTGCAAGAAGTTATTCGACTTTCTCTCTCTCTCTCTCTCTTTCTTTCTTTCGTTCCCTTACGTACGCGCGCGCGCACATCAGACGTACATACAGAGAAAGTTAGTATTGCGTTGTACAGGAAGCTCGGGTTGAATTAGGGAGAATGTAAATGATAGGAAAGCTGCAAGTTCATTATTACCGGCGGACGTAATACCACAGAATTGTTCGGGAAACTTTTCTGAATGGCAGTTAATTATAATTAATATCACATTGTCTAAGTAGAGAGAGAGAGAGAGAGAAAGAGAGACGAAGAGAGACTTCGTACGCGTCCTTACTTTCAAGAATCGACAAAAACGCACTGCCACGAAGTTTCCACCACTTATTTTTTCTTCTACTTCTACTTTTTCTACTTCTTCTTCTTCTTTTTCTTTTTCTTCTTCTTCTTCTTCTTATTCTTCTTCCTATTTTTCTTTTCGAAAAAAACTTCCTTGGATCGAGGTCCATATAAAATTACATTGAGTTACCATGAGCTCGGTTGTTTTCGATCTACTAAAGAAATTTTTCCACTAAAACAACGTTGCTTTTCATCGTTTCGAGCCATCTCCTTCATATGTTATTTCTATATGTGAAATTTAGAAAAAGAAAGAAAAAAAAAAAAAAAAAAACAAAAATAATTTCGATATATTAGGGGAACCGGAAAGTAATGTCGTTTATGCGCATGTCGATATTTGATTGTGATTAAAAATAAAAATTTGTTAAAAATTGATTCGTTTGAATTTAATTTAAGAAAGCGACATTACTTTCCGGTCCACCTAATAGTAATTTAAAATTGAAATGAGTACTTAAGGAACTAACAAAGGAAAAAAGAAAAAAACAAAAAAAAAAAAAAGAAAAAAGAGGGAAAAAAAAAGAAAAGAAAAATTACGATTGCATTGTAATTAACGATTGTTCGAGATTATTTTTAATTTAGATGTAATTGTAATTTAGATATAATCGTAATTTAGATGATTATTTTAATTGATGAGATTAGATTCGAACGATAGCGAAAGAATGAAAATCTATTGTTAATTAATGATCGATTAAGAAAATTCGATGGTTCTTTCGATAGAACAAATTTGTCCTTTGAAATTTTTTTTGCTTTCTAACGTGAGAACTTTCTCTCTCTTTTTCTCTCTCTCTTTCTCTTTTTCTCTTTCATTCTCTCTCATTCTTTCTCTTTACAAGAAAGAATACAAGCATCTTCGAATTCTATGCTTCTTTGAAAGTCGTTGAATTAAATCTGTGTTTTTACCGGAGAAAAATGTCTGTCTAATTGCAGAGATATACAAGCAGCTCTCACACTTTTTAAAGAAAATTCTATTGAATCGTATATATCGAATTGTAACGTCGATTCGAACTTCTCTTGTGACCTCTACTTAGACAAAAAGAGAAGGAGAGAGAGAAAGAGAAAGAGAAAAATAAAGAAGGAGAGACGCTGAGAGAAAGAAAGAGAGAGATAGATAGGTAGAGAGAGAGAGAGAGAGAGAGAGAGAGAGAGAGAGAGAGAAATAGAATTCTGCAAAAGGAAAGAGAAACAAAAAAATAGTGGAAACTTGTAGAGACTTCTTTTCTGCTATAGAGAAAGAGAGTAAAAGAAAGATAGTGACACAGAGGGAGAGAGAGAGAGAGGAGGAGGGGGAAGAAGGGGGGAGGGCGAAGGGTAAAGGAAAAAGTAACTTCAACGATCGAATCGAATCGCTAGTTTTAAACTGCACCCGAGGAAGTCCACCTCCTCCCGGTGATTGCTTTTCGCGTTTAATACGAAACAGGGCGTAAGTCAATTTGTATCTTACGTAATACGTGCCAGGCAGCATTCGCGTTCTCTTTCTTTCTCTTTCCTTTTCTATCGTCATCTCACTTTCTCCCTTACTCTTTCCGTAGGGCATGATTTTCTCGTTTATCTCCTGGCTCTCGAGTTCTTCCATTTTACCTGCCGGCGTGAAGTCGAAAGCTACGCGAAATTACAAAATCTCAGTTAGATCGATAAACTCGTCCGATGAATTTTTCAACGTTAGATGAATTTCTTTCTCTAATAATGTCACATAGAAATCACATAATTTTATGTTATTTTCAAACGAATCAATGTTACTATATGCGTTCACTTCGTTAGAAATTTCGATGAAAATGTAATGTTTCAATTCGTATTTAACGATCGATCGTACAATTATTAAAAAATGTAATGATAATAACTTTATTTCTTTTGATACATTTTCTAACCTTAATCTTTTAGAAATTATATAGAAATAAGTAGATAAATAAGCAGAGATATTTAAGATTCGAATTTTATATAGAACATTTATATTTTAATCGATTGTAACAAATTATATCGATTGAAATGATTCTATTTTAATGTAATTTCTTTTATTTTTGTTCGAAGAACTTGATGTAAAAATAAAAAAAAAAAGAAAAAAGATAAACACTATATAAAAGAGAGAAAAGAAATAAAAATCGTCGCTCTGAGCGACATCTATGTGAGAAATATACATCGATTGCAAATTAAAATCGAATAAATTGATACATTTGATTATGTTGAACAAATCAAATGTACATATTCTATTTCATTAACTAACAGAGAGTTAGTTAATGAAATATTATATGAGTTATAAAATCATAAGAACGCGAATGTAAGAATTTTTGTACGTTCGAAGAAAAAGAAAAGTCTCCATATTTAAGAATAATAAATCCAATAATTAAATTATATTACTCACGAAGAACGCTATTGGTCAGATGATCTTCTAATTGATAATCGCGGCTCGTCATTGGTAGATCTTCAATTGGCAACGTTGTCATCGTTTGGACGATACCAAGGTTGTCACGGGATATACATCGTCGTTTTATTTACAGGTAATTAATATATTTTTATTAACATACATTACCCTTAAGTATACCAATCGATCGTCAAACTTTTCATTTACACGAAATGTGTTATTAGCGAGGAGATGATAGCAGCGTTTAAGAAATATTTGTGATAGAAAAAATGACGTCTCATACAGAATGCATTTCGCTCTTACATTTTTCTCTCGTTCGAGATCTTACTTTGGCACGTAAATCATTTCAATCGTTTATTTTCGTGTTTTTGACATGAAGAAATATCTGTTACGATAGATTTTTAGACCTTTTTATCGCATTTTTGACATTTTCAATATTTTCCAATAATAGATCGAAAAATTATGAATTTATCGATCTATTATTGGACCATTGCGGGGTAGTGTTATACGCATGCGCGGCGAACATGTTTAGACGCGTTGACGATCAAATCACCGCCATTTTGAATTCGCGAATGCCGACAGGTTGCAGAAAGTATCGTCGTCCTAATAATTACAGGTAATTAGAATATTTTTTCTAACGTACAATTTCCTTCAATATATCAATCGATTGCCGAACACATGATTTATATTTGACCATATTCGCAAATCAAGACATCATTGCGTTCAGGAGATATTCACACAAAATAAAATTGGCGCCTTGGTTTTCTCATATTGCTATTGCGTCATATTTCGTTTTCTGAATTTTTTACTAATATTTTCGCAATATCGTTATTTTTCTCGCTCTTTAACGATAAACTAATTAATAATCTTTCATTAATTAACCATCATCAATCGTATTACATATTATGTTCGATTTTTATATACACATACACATATATATATATATAC